CTCAGCACGTTTGAGCTTCAGCAAGAACCAATGAGGTTCATTCTCGTGTTACGCAGCACGTTTGAGCTTCAGCAAGAACCAATGAGGTTCATTCTTGTGTTACGCAGCACGTTTGAGCTTCAGCAAGAACCAATGAGGTTCATTCTCGTGTTACGCAGCACGTTTGAGCTTAAGCAAGAACCAATGAGGTTCATTCTTGTGTTACGCAGCACGTTTGAGCTTCAGCAAGAACCAATGAGGTTCATTCTTGTGTTACGCAGCACGTTTGAGCTTCAGCAAGAACCAATGAGGTTCATTCTCGTGTTACTCAGCACGTTTGAGCTTCAGCAAGAACCAATGAGGTTCATTCTCGTGTTACGCAGCACGTTTGAGCTTCAGCAAGAACCAATGAGGTTAATTATCATGTTACGCAGCACGTTTGAGCTTCAGCAAGAACCAATGAGGTTCATTCTCGTGTTACTCAGCACGTTTGAGCTTCAGCAAGAACCAGTGCTTAAATGTGGCCCAAAAGAGGTGGCGGTAATCTATTATTATTATTTTATTTTTTTGCTGACTCCCCTCCTCCCCTGAGGTAACAACAACTATATTGAAGGGGTTTTATATAAACAGCAGTCAACAGACGACCTTATAAAAAATAATAAATCCTTTTATTAGTTTGTGGATTTGCTTTAGCTAGAAAGAGCTACTGAACATAAATAAAATGTGCAAATGGTATTGAAAAAATACCCTTAGAAAGAGCTACAGTAGAAAGAGCTACTGAACATAAATAAAATGTACAAAATGTGGATATGAATCCAACTGGAAAAACTTGTGAAAAGATATATTTTGATTAGTCAAATAGCAAATAGCATTTAGTGAAGCTCTATAGCCATCTAGTGGTTGAAGTGATTTTTATTTTATTTTAAAACTGCATTTTCCAAAAAATTGCCAAAAATCTTACATTAAACCATGTAAAATTATCCATGTTATCTCCATGAATGAAAGTTAGAAATCTGGGTCTTTTATAAAGTGAATTTGACATAAAATGCTGTTTTTTTGTTGTTGTAAAAAGCCTATTTAAATAAATATTTATTTATTTATAGAAATTTAAAAGATATCATAAATCCTCCAAAAACTGCACAAATGTTGAGTAAAAACATTAATAAACAGAGTAAAATTACATTTGTAAAAAAAAAAAAAAAAACTTTTATTTTGTTACAAAATTAAATGTTATTGTCTGGGCTGGGGTATAGAGCATCACAGTCCCGCCCACAGCCCGAGAGAGCTTCGGTGCCGGAAGTAAATTTCCCATTCATTTCTCCCATTGACGTTTTGGAAAAACCGTATCTAAAGAGTTTTAGAGCATGTCTGAGGATAATCAGCTACGGCTGAACTCATAAGCATACAACATATCATTTCGAGTGAAAAAACGAAGAGAAAATCCAAATAAAATCAAAGGTACAAGACTGTGTACATATTTTCATTTCCGAGCAAAAGAACTACTCATCTCATAAACCACCGTGCCTCACTGAAGTCGACTGAAGCCACAACCGCGAAAGAGCCTTTTGAGCGACTTCCAAATCTGACGACGGCCACGCGAACTTTTTCCTCCAGTGAATTTTATATAGTGAATGTGCAGGGAAACTCCGTTTCTGATTTAATGAAGCTTATATGTAAAACACATTGATCATCTGGCTCGCTCATACTGTACTGCGGCAACTGCACATCCAATGGCGCGGGCACCTCTGACGTGCGACCAATGAGCTAGCCCTACGTCATTACACGATCTTCAGTCTTCACGGACCTTCGCGGGGTTTAACCAGACAGTTACACGGCACGCAATGTGATGCTCTGTTTGTATTTTAACCGAGCAGCTAATACTGACAGCGGCAAAAGCGAAGCATGCGCTTTTCACTTGTAAAACTCAAGGGTGTATGGGTAATGTAGTCTCTGCTCTCGGTGGGACGAATTAGGAGGCGTGCATTGTGAAGGGAGCTCTGAAAAGCGGCAGCGCAGCCAAAGGATTAAAACAGATGTGCAAATGAGCGTACCGGTACGCTAAAAGCACGTTCTGGGCGCACGGAGAGGTGGCGGTACGCTCAAGAGCTATATTTGGAAGTGGCGGTACTGAGTACCGGTGCGTACCGGCCCACTTAAAGCACTGGCAAGAACCAATGAGGTTCATTCTCGTGTTACGCAGCACGTTTGAGCTTCAGCAAGAACCAATGAGGTTCATTCTCGTGTTACTCAGCACGTTTGAGCTTCAGCAAGAACCAATGAGGTTCATTCTCGTGTTACGCAGCACGTTTGAGCTTCAGCAAGAACCAATGAGGTTCATTCTCGTGTTACGCAGCACGTTTGAGCTTCAGCAAGAACCAATGAGGTTCATTCTCGTGTTACGCAGCACGTTTGAGCTTCAGCAAGAACCAATGAGGTTCATTCTCGTGTTACTCAGCACGTTTGAGCTTCAGCAAGAACCAATGAGGTTCATTCTCGTGTTACGCAGCACGTTTGAGCTTCAGCAAGAACCAATGAGGTTCATTCTCGTGTTACTCAGCACGTTTGAGCTTCAGCAAGAGCCAATGAGGTTCATTCTCGTGTTACGCAGCACGTTTAAGCTTCAGCAAGAACCAATGAGGTTCATTCTCGTGTTACTCAGCACGTTTGAGCTTCAGCAAGAACCAATGAGGTTCATTCTCGTGTTACGCAGCACGTTTGAGCTTCAGCAAGAACCAATGAGGTTCATTCCCGTGTTACGCAGCACGTTTGAGCTTCAGCAAGAACCAATGAGGTTCATTCTCGTGTTACTCAGCACGTTTGAGCTTCAGCAAGAACCAATGAGGTTCATTCTTGTGTTACGCAGCACGTTTGAGCTTCAGCAAGAACCAATGAGGTTCATTCCCGTGTTACGCAGCACGTTTGAGCTTCAGCAAGAACCAATGAGGTTCATTCTCGTGTTACGCAGCACGTTTGAGCTTCAGCAAGAACCAATGAGGTTCATTCCCGTGTTACGCAGCACGTTTGAGCTTCAGCAAGAACCAATGAGGTTCATTCTCGTGTTACGCAGCACGTTTGAGCTTCAGCAAGAACCAATGAGGTTCATTCCCGTGTTACGCAGCACGTTTGAGCTTCAGCAAGAACCAATGAGGTTCATTCCCGTGTTACGCAGCACGTTTGAGCTTCAGCAAGAACCAATGAGGTTCATTCTCGTGTTACGCAGCACGTTTGAGCTTCAGCAAGAACCAATGAGGTTCATTCTCGTGTTACGCAGCACGTTTGAGCTTCAGCAAGAACCAATGAGGTTCATTCTCGTGTTACGCAGCACGTTTGAGCTTCAGCAAGAACCAATGAGGTTCATTCTCGTGTTACTCAGCACGTTTGAGCTTCAGCAAGAACCAATGAGGTTCATTCTCGTGTTACGCAGCACGTTTGAGCTTCAGCAAGAACCAATGAGGTTCATTCTCGTGTTACGCAGCACGTTTGAGCTTCAGCAAGAACCAATGAGGTTCATTCTCGTGTTACGCAGCACGTTTGAGCTTCAGCAAGAACCAATGAGGTTCATTCTCGTGTTACGCAGCACGTTTGAGCTTCAGCAAGAACCAATGAGGTTCATTCTTGTGTTACGCAGCACGTTTGAGCTTCAGCAAGAACCAATGAGGTTCATTCTCGTGTTACGCAGCACGTTTGAGCTTCAGCAAGAACCAATGAGGTTCATTCTCGTGTTACTCAGCACGTTTAAGCTTCAGCAAGAACCAATGAGGTTCATTCTCGTGTTACGCAGCACGTTTGAGCTTCAGCAAGAACCAATGAGGTTCATTCTCGTGTTACGCAGCACGTTTGAGCTTCAGCAAGAACCAATGAGGTTCATTCTCGTGTTACGTAGCACGTTTGAGCTTCAGCAAGAACCAATGAGGTTCATTCTCGTGTTACGCAGCACGTTTGAGCTTCAGCAAGAACCAATGAGGTTCATTCTCGTGTTACTCAGCACGTTTGAGCTTCAGCAAGAACCAATGAGGTTCATTCTCGTGTTACTCAGCACGTTTGAGCTTCAGCAAGAACCAATGAGGTTCATTCTCGTGTTACGCAGCACGTTTGAGCTTCAGCAAGAACCAATGAGGTTCATTCTCGTGTTACGCAGCACGTTTGAGCTTCAGCAAGAACCAACGTTTGAGCTTCAGCAAGAACCAATGAGGTTCATTCTCGTGTTACGCAGCACGTTTGAGCTTCAGCAAGAACCAATGAGGTTCATTCTCGTGTTACGCAGCACGTTTGAGCTTCAGCAAGAACCAATGAGGTTCATTCTCGTGTTACTCAGCACGTTTGAGCTTCAGCAAGAACCAATGAGGTTCATTCTCGTGTTACGCAGCACGTTTGAGCTTCAGCAAGAACCAATGAGGTTCAGAGTAACCCGAGAATGAACCTCATTGGTTCTCGCACGTTAAGCGAACATTCTTGAGCTCCCCTTTACCACAACTGATGTGTGAGTTGATGAATGTTTATATCTGAATAAAAGCCTAAATTCAATCCGTTCATCATATAAAGCAATCAAGTCTCTTCTGAAAATCTTCTTAATTCATTTGGATTTATTTTACAATCTCTTTTTGAAGTGTCAATGTAGTAATTGTGTAGCTGTCAATGGAGGGATCTTCATTCTGTTCTGAAGATGAATACAAGTCTTATGGGTTTGGAACGACATGAGGGTGAGTAATAAAATTAACTATCCCTTTAAATTAGGTTGATAATAATATAGTTAATTCATATACATTATAAAAATGTAAAACAGACACATAAACCCCAATGTTTATGAAAGTACCATGGTATTTACTCAGTTTAACAGTAAACTGCTCAAAACTGTTTTGATTATATAATGGTTTGCACTTATATTTAATTGTTTGATTTCTTTTCTGAAATCTGGCCAATTTAAGAAAAATATTTTTAGAGAAATATTCAAAGCACTTGGGTATCATCTCATGTCTGTGTGTTATAAGTGTGTGAGTGTGTGAACAAAATAAACACGACAGTTGTTTTCAAAATCTTTTGATCTATATAATTGACACAAGGGTTTTTCTCTTTCTTTTTAAAGAACATACAACAACAAGGGACAGATCATTTCTTCAGTCTCTTCAAAATGTTCTACTTTCAACCTTAAACACAAACTCCCCATTATTGTTCATTTAAAAACAAACTAACAAAAATAATAAACTATATACCAGAATGCATTTTTTTTTTCAATCTCAGCACATTTCGACAATTTCAGCAACATTCATCAGTAAGGAGAAAGTGGCAGTGCCACCATTACGCCATTGCACCAACAGGTGGGACTGTTTTCCTGACCTGGAGTCAGACCACTAACCGTCAAAGATTTGACAAATGTGCTAAAGACAGTTGAGACTGATTTCAAAGCATATCACTCTACAGATAGTTAGTGAATTGTGCCACGTCACGGGTCCTTTTCTTCAACCACATCTGATCCAATCGATCAACAAAACAATCCATAACACTGCCTGTGGGATATTTCTCTGTTATCGACCGCTGGTCATGATGTAGTCATGCGGACGTGGCCGTGTGCGTCATGCAAAGTGCAGCATTTCTAACTGTAAGAGTAGGGTGTTGTTCTCCATCGTAATGACCCGGTCAGATCTGTCCACCACTGTATATACTGGCTGAAACTGCAGCATTTTCTCTACAGTGCTAATGGCAACCTTAATCATCATTCAGGACAGTTACATCACTTCCTGTAACCTCTAGAAACGCAAAGTTCATTAATAGAGCGGAATAAATATGCTCTTCTCAGGTTTGGTCGAAATGCGTCATTCTCTCTTAGGCCTGAAACTCTATGCAAGTACGAGAACGCAAATGCTTAGCTATGCTCAGTTCCACGTTGCTTTTTGAAATGAGTTTTAATACGTAGTTCAGACTCTAAGCAAACACTGATTGGTTCTTCCAACGCCATTGGCCAATCAGAAGTACTTCCTAATCCACGTAACCATATATATCGTACCCTAGCCTGTGATTGGCATGCTGCGCGATTATAAAAGCTTCTGTTATCCCTCCTCCTCCCCAGCACCACCTGTAGAGATCTACCATTTTCTTGCGGCAGCCTGTCCTTTTGTTTGTTATTTTGACTAAGCTGAACAAATGATTGTATTTGCTCAGCAGCAGCGTAGCAGATCTACGCCAAAATTAGGCATATGTATATTCCATGCCCCATGCCAATAAATGCTCGTTGAAATAATCCACTCCGAGAGTTGTCAGGACTGAAATGTATTAAATAATAAAAGAGAAGCAAACTGTTGATCTACTATCATGGTGGAGCAACAGTTTGAAGTGAATTCTAGCTGAGCAAGCAAGTTGAAGTAAGTCAAACTCTCAACATGTTTAGCTATAGCTACCTGGACACTCAAATATCCAAAGGTAACTCTATCGCCCCCTTGAGAACTAAGGTGTGATATCACTACATCGCAAGCAAAAACACACATTAGTATGCATGATGGCATGTTATTCGCATTTACATACTTGCATAGAGTATGGTTCTTGCCTACAACTGGCATACTTTCATTGGTAAAAGTTACGCAAACGTTTGCTCAATGTTGCGCAACACCGTTTTTTTACATCAACATTGTGTGTGTGCCATAAACAATTCCAACTTGTCTGCTAAATAATGAAGGGCAGGGTGTGGGGCTGGGAAATATTTGAGACACACATACAAAATGTGACTCACTGAACTAATCTGATCTGACATGGATGCAGCATGTATTGAGTACAAGTGTAGTTTCGTATTGTGAGTTCTTACAACGCTTTCTCTGAAGTACGCTCACACATAACACACACATCTCTATGATGAGGTTTGAATCAATATCAAATTAACAATGTCCAGAAACCCCTCCACATCCCCCTGGTTTCGAGTCTTTCATTCTCCGGCTTGTCTTTTCCCGCGTGTAAAATCCCTTTCTGAGATGACGGTCATTATTTATCTGTCCCACGGATTAGAGCACATCTTTTCGTAAAATGTGCCCATCTCTTTCTCATTGCTGGTGCATTAACGTTTCATTCCATATATTGCTCTAGTGCCGTTGAGGCCTTCAAGGATATACTGAAAATGTGACTGTGGTTAGTAGACGTTTATTTACATCCAGAGTAAAATACATGTAGGGTTTTTCTTTAGGATGGCCCCCGGAACCCATTTGTGAAGCGGAGTGCGGAAACTGTTACAATGAGAGAGAGAGAGAGAGAGAGAGAGAGAGAGAGAGAGAGAGAGAGAGAGAGAGAGAGAGAGAGAGAGAGAGAGAGAGAGAGAGAGAGAGACAGAGAAAGAGTGAGACAGCTGGTCTTCAAAAAACAAGACTCAGTAAAGCTTGTTTTCATGATTAGAAAGCTTTAAAACAAAGGAGAACACGCCGTTCTTTCATTTGCTTTGATCGAGTGTTGAAGGACATTCTCAAGCTTTGAGACGTCTTCTCTTTATGGGTCTTAATTAATAAATAAATATAACCTAAAATTATTTTTGAATAAGGAAAAACCTGCATGTTTTGTTTGTTGGGGTGGATTTTCATAGCTATTGTTTTAGATATCATGGAAGCATTCTCAGAGACCTTTTCACCACAGACATAAAGACAAGCAAAAGACCAGCTCTAGGGGTGTCATATATCAAATAAGAGACAAAAAAGTACACAGATCTAAGAATATTATTCCATGGTGTTCTTATTCAAGACAAAAAAAAAGTGATGCATTCGCCGGTTTGCGTTGATGTTTGCATGTTTGTTTTGGCAATGTGACTAACCCCGCCCCTCCACAATCCAACCCAGTCCTGTACTCAGTCCCAGTTGGTGGGAATGCCTGTCAATTATCGCCTAAGCAGGACTGTGACCAATGAGAGAAGGTAGAGGCTGACGCAAGGCAGGTTCTGGCTGCTTCTTCCATTCACCACCTTCTTGATACCCGGCTGATAGTCGTACACTTTGGGTTTGTCCGTTTTTGGGGCATTTAAACGCGGACCACTGGAACATTGATCATCGACACACATTCCACTTCCTGAACCGCTGATATCATCACCTAAAGATGAGAAAACAATGAGCTAAAGTGAGACAGAGTTCAGGAACGTTCCACAGGAATGACCAAGCTACATTCCAAAGTTGGAGAGTAACTAACTAAAAGTAACAACTCTTTTAAAGTTAACTACATTTTTGGATCCTGAATGTAGACTGTTTTTAAATTAGTTTTGAATTTGATTCATTTTAGTGGTAAGTGGTTCATGGTTCATTAAACGGTAACACTTTACAATAAGGTCTCATTTGTTAACATGTACTAACTAACATGAACTAACCATGAGCAATACATTTCTTACTGTATTAGTTAATCTTTGTTAACGTTAGTTAAAGGTTCTCTAAGCGATGTCGGGTGACGTCACTTCTTGTTGACGTTTAAAGTATTGTCAAACAAAACGGAGGCTAGCTAGACCCTCCCTCCTCCTCATCCGCGCACTAACCCCCAAACCCCGCCCCCAAGTCCTTCTTGTCAGTGATTGGCTGGAACTGTTTGTCATGTTTCGTGGAGTGGGTTAGCCCAGTTTGTTTTTGTTGGTGTTTGTGGAGCCTGGGCTGTCTACAGAGATCGCGTTTCTTTACAGTGTGTTCAGGGGACAGGCAGCCAGCGGTTAGTGAGGAGATGTTTGCTGTATGTGACAAAAAATGTTTTGGCCTAAAAAAACGCGTGACATCGCTTAGAGCACCTTTAATGGAAATAATGTAAAATAATGAGAAAATGTATTAGTAAATGTTGAAATTAACATTAACAAAAATGAATAAATGGTGTAGAAGTGCAGTTCATTATTAGTTCATGTTAACTAATGTAGTTAACTAATAACTAATATTAACCAATGAAACCTTATTGTAAAGTGTTACCAAAAAAAAAAACAAATCACGTTGTCAATGACCAGTCGTCAATCATTTAGTATCCCTTCTTTTGTAGCAAAATAAGTAGTTTTCAGTTCTGTTAAATTAGGCTTTTTTTTGGTGTATTAGACAGTACTTACTGGTGTCCTGGAAGTCCACATCATTTCCATTGACGGCATACTTCAGTCGGTTGATCATTATCTTAAGCTGCATGATCTGTTTGCGTACAGTCATGTCTGGTTTAGTGATGTCGATCTCCACCTCAGGATTATTGATCTGACTGGCCAACCCGTCTCCCATCACTTCAGGGAGATACCTGACAGAACAGAAATCTGAGTGCACATTTTCCCATTGCTGACAATATCTGTGCTCCCTAGCTGCATATTTTGTACTATAAAACGCTATTAAATAATCTACAGAGAGCCATCTTGTAGTCACTGTACAAGACAGTACAGCTGTGCAACACAGTGTGTGTTTCTATTAAAACTGAGGTTGATTGAGCTGTTCGTGTGCATTTACCTGTCCACATTCATTCCATTCCAACATCTGTCTACATCACTCGGTCCAGACTCACGATCCACACACAGTTTTCTGGGCAAATGGACCCAGTATTGCATCATATCCCTCAGCATTCTGGACACATCGGATAACTGAGAGAAAGAAAATGTGATCTCACAAATATGGCATACGGCAACGAAAAACCAATTATAATTACAAATAATAAAATAAATAACACTTCTGCTATATGCATTTACAAAAAATGCATAATTTTTTTTTAGATTATGCTAACATTAATCATTTAGCATATTATTGAGCCTGCAGTTCACTGTAATATTAACCCTATAAAACCTACTGTGTATCCTCTTCGATACACACATTTTTAAGGCCTCTAAATTATCACTATGATCAGACCGTTGCAGTAAAACCTGTTGTACGCAATATACTACATGTCATCTGATTTATAGTTCATACTTTTTAGTATTTTTTAATGATTCTTAATAGGTCCACATTCAGGTTGTGGTACACATGTCTTTTTACGGTGAAATCTTTACTGATTTTTATAAAGTAAACGTAAAAATATCTTTTATATTGTTAGTAATATTTCAAGATTAACACTTACTGGACTGAAGCAACTTTACTTGATTATCCATATATATATTTATAGGCATTTTATGTACGTGCTATACTGTTAAAGATTTTATTGATTTACCTTACAAGCTACTGTATCAGAATTTTATCTTATTTTTCAGCTATATTAATATCATTAACTGCACCAATTTGACTATATTTGAGCCTCTGAACTTTTTTCTCATCGAGTTTGAACTTCATATTTTCCTATATCATACCATATGAACCATAAAAGACCTATCAAATATTGTACTCAATGAAAAACATATGAAAACATTATTATTATTTATATATATATATATATATATATATATATTATTATTATTATTATTTTATATGTCAGGCTTTACAGGTAAAAAAATAATATTTTTTGAATTAAATGTTTGTGACATTTTGTATAATGAACAATTTTGTTACTGTGGTGGGCTGCCACTTTATATACTCAATGTAAAATCTGGGTCCTGGAGCAAAAACTGCAACAGTACACCATCTAAACACACTCACCAGTTTCTCCAACTGGGCTCCTGGGGTGCTGCTGACTTCTTCTGCTGTGTTTCTCCCTCGCTTGATCTGGTCATCAGAGACGGAGCTCTGAGCAGGAGAACCACATGCCTGAAGCACCTGAAGAACAACAAATCATGGCATTGGTTTTGGCACAGGGTTCTGGTTAACTTTGGTTCAATATGTATTAATGAATTCATGATATATAAAAGGTTAAGTCTGTTAAGTTCAGCACTGACCTTATTGTTGAATGTGTTGCGGTTGTCTTGCATGTAGAGAATAGCTTCAGCAATGCGTTTTGGTAGAGACAGAACCACCGAATCCACACTGTAAGGCCGACTCAGTTTGTCAACCACCTCCAGCATAGCATCTACACACAAACACAGTCTTTATATCATGTTGACATGTAGACAACCAACCAACTACAAGGTAAATCACAATATCATAAACTTTGATTTGAAGCAAAAAAAGTATTTGAAAATCGTACAAAAAGTACTTAATGGCTTTAATAAGGGGAATAACCACAATCCCATGAAACATTGCAAATGGCAATGAAATAAAAAAAGATTAAATTATTAATTCAAAGGCAGGGTAGGTGATTTGTGACTCAAATTTATTTCAATGGCAACACTATCAACGCCGAAATGAATCTGCAGCAGTCAGGTGGTACAGGTCTCTTTAAGTTGTTTATGTTCATAATTATTGTAATGTTATGTGCTTTGAGAAATAAGTTAATTTAACGCCATCTCTCGTGACTTGCTATTGCTAGCCGTTTCAAAAAAGGCCTACCCTACCTTTAAATGTGCTGTATTAAGACCGACTCATTTGCAGTGCTTCATTGGAGAGAGCGTTCCATGCCATTTTGCTACATTTTGCTCGCAGTGAATCTCTGATCGAGATTGGTGGCATTTTCTTCGCAGCACTAGGAATTCCACTGTTAAACACCATTATTTAAAAACAAATAAGTTGAAATAATGAGAACTGATGGCTTCAGCAAAAGACTACCATCAACTAACAACCTTGGAGTTAAAATCACTCCCCCTGAAGATGTATGGAATTTTTACTTCCGGAAACCGACTGTTGCATTTGATGTCCCTGTCCCAAGTGGCACACTTTATATGCACTTACGGTCTTATGGACTTACAATGGCTGTCGCGTGCGCATGTTCGTTAAGTCTACAAGACCGTAGGGAGTCCCATTTGTTGTTTCTGAAGTTTCAGAAGTGTGTCTGCGAGCGCCCCAATTTTCCCAAAATTTTGCATATCCTGATTTTTATGAATTAGACACATTCCTGGGTCAACATATTTTGTTGATCCTGGAACAACATTCCTGTCAAAAAATGTTTTATCCTTACCATATCCCTACCTCTAAACCAAACCCTATCCATAAGTTATCCCTAAAATCAGAGGGAAATGATCGGCTGAATAACGCTGATGTAGCAGCACCTAACCCTGGTCGTAAGACTAAACTTGACATAAATTATAAACTTGTCCCTCAAATCTGATTGGTTGATTGGAATGTTGTTCCAGGATCCACAAAGATGTTGATCCAGGAACATGTTCTACTTGGTGAAATCAGGTTCTGCAGCGAGCTCCAGACAGCCAAAGCGGCGTTACATCACAAAAGGACGGACTCATAAGAAGACTGCAAGTGTTTAGGGTGCCGTTTGAGACAGGGCTTATAAGGGTCTATCTTGGCCCCGCCCACCTGCCAGGTTCCTCCACTCAGTGTCCAGATCCGCTTGATTAGCAAGGCAGCCCTTCATGACATTCTTACAGTAGTTTGAGCAGGGCTTGGCAATGGTAACGCCGCTACAGTGAGGACAGTACGTCAGCTTCATGACGGCACGCACACATTCAGTGCTCAGAGACACCTGCAAGAGAGAGACAAAGAAATGAAAGAACAGCGGAAGCATATCTATACTGACTCAGAAAGTGCCCTGAATTGTTTTGTGTCACACATAATAAATAAAATTGATAATTACAATCCACAAATAAGTCTTTGTCAGTTCCTACAGTTTCCCATGAGGTCCAAGGATGTGGGATGATACATTTTTGTATTGCGTGATATCATGCTTCTCTACAGATAGTCTCTGAGAGTAACCTCATGAGGTCAAAGACATCTTTCACAATATTCCCACTTTTTATCAGAAACCTCCACCCTTATCATGTCAAAGCATGGGATTTATTCAGGGCCCCATAGGGAAAAGTAGTGCGACTCGGAAAGGAAAGAAAAACTTGACATTTGCTTGTATAGATATTTAAATGAATCTAATTTCATGGATATTAAAAGGCAAAACTAGTTTTTGTTTAGGTGTAAATCTAAATACAGTCAGCCTGACATTTAGTTTCTGTACATGTAACTGTATTTGTTCTGTCCTAACTGCATTAGGCTGCATGAAACATTGGGGCAGCTCTGCCATGCAACTTTGACACATTTTTACAAAGCTGAATCTGAATGTCAGCAACTGTATATGCAATGACTTTGTTCTGAACAATCTTTAATCAAAACCTTCCAAGCGACCAGACGAAACACTTGCAATCACATGCGTTCCTTTTATTATCAACTCTGAGTCGTTCAGAAAGTGATGCGAATAAATTTGTATTTCATTGAAAATTATACTTTTAAATTCAAATCGAAACAGACAAGTAACCCCAGATGAGATCAGCGCAGTTAATGCTGAGCTGCAGTTCTGTCATGCAGTATGTGTTCAGCCTGATAAAAGTAGACTATATTAAACCTGGATGAAAAGTAGATGTTAGGAGACGAGCAACAGTCAATTCTGCTGTGGCTTTGTCGGCGGATGCAAAAATAGACAGTGTAAATAGCAATAGTGTCTAAAATGTAAGTTACTCAAAATCAACTTTTTGTTTGTTGAACTGTAGTAATGTGACTGGGAAAGGCGCCACATGGGTAGCAGATTCGCTTCGCTCTAGATATTAATATGCACATATATTTCACTTTAAAGTGAAATCCGGCAGCATCAAGGGAGGAAGAAATTTTTATCACACGCTGAGATATAAATAACTGGACTGGACGGAGGTAAAAATACTTGATTCAGACTCCTACACACCTTACACACACACACACACACACACACCACCCTTCAGAAGACCTGGCAGTGCTTGATACCTAAAGGATGACTCAAGCACACGCTTTAAAGCTGCAGTTCAGTTTTTCCTCTTTGTCGCCATCTCTGTTCAAAATCTGCAATTGCAGTTATTCGCGGAATTATCAACTTTACGTGGGTTGTGCCTCGGCATGGCACAGCGCGGATTAATCCAATGTTTTGAGGATATTGTGCAGCTGTCAGTCACCGCGCCGGTGTAGAGACTGTCATTCGGAATCACAGATTCTACTTTTTGGAAGTATGACCAGCATAAGAATATTCACCGGAAAATGTCACCTGAACAAGTAAGTAACATCCACTTTTGTTCTGAACAACTAAGGGGAAAAAAGCATTGCAGTAAATTAAATCTAACGATCGCTTATCATATTACGTCAAACCGTGCAAATTATACTTTGTTCTCAACTTGTTAATGTTAACAACGTCAGCATTGCGTGACTACATTTAATGTCCTTCCGATATTATCCTTGTTTTCGCATGGGTCCGGTTGCAGTCTCTTTTTTTCTGAAGCCACTATAAAGTCGGATCCAAGTCTTTTGCATTTTACAGCGGGTGAATCTCACTTGTCACTGGTGATTGTTGTTTGAACCTTTCTGGATCCGCCATCAAATTGATAAGTTTAGTTATATCAAGTGCTGTGAGAAAAGGCTATAAATCTCCAACTCCAGCATCCTCACACACAATATAGCCTACTAGCCGAGACTCCTTCTTTATGTGTACAGATGTGACGTAATGACGCAAAGACATGCTCGAATCTCCCGCGGAAATCCACCAGTACCACTGGAATTAAAAACATTATTACAGGCTCACCGCTTTGAATCGAGCTAAGGCAAGCAGAGAGTTTTGACCACTGGCTGGTTATGTACTTGCTCAAAAAATTATTTTGGATAATTTTTAACCCAAAAAAAGTTACAGAATGCAGCTTTAATGAGGAGAGAAGAGGAGAACGAGAGAAATAAGATGAGATAGGAATATAGAGAATAGACAAATGGAGTGAATGTGAGAAGGATGTGTGAAGATGCACAGGAAGCTCCGGGGAGGAGGGAAAGTGAGGACAGGAGAAGAGAGTGTGAGAGAGAGGAAGGGTTGAGGGAGGATAATATGGCACATTAAATCCTCTGAGCACTCGTGATTCATCAGATCAGAGCAGGATAGAGAGTTTGCTGCCCAGTATACAGCTCAGATTCAGTTCTGACACTGGACCCACATTTGGGCTTCAGCCTCGTGGACTTCAGTGGAATGCCAGGCTGGACATTCAGCAATCTCAAGATAGTGATTCAAATTTTTTTTACATTTTTTTATGAATCAAATGAATTGATTGAACCAATTTGCAAATGTGTTATTTGCTCATTGAATTGGTTCTGGGCATGTCATACCCTCCCAGGAAAAAAAGGTACAAAAGCTGTCACCTTAAACAAATGATCTCATACTTTACTCACCCTCAAACCATCCTAGGTGTATATGGCTTACGTCTTTCAGCCGGACACATTTGGAGTTATATTAAATGATATCATGGCTCTTCCCAGCGTTGTAATAGCATTGAATATCGTCAGAGTTTTTGAAGCTCCAAAAAGCACATTCATCCATAAAAGTAATCCATGCTTATGACGCATGACGTAGGTGTAGCGTCAAGTCAAGTCAAGTCAAATATATTTATATAGCGCTTTTCACAATACAGATTGTATCAAAGCTGCTTCACAGTATCAATCAAAACAACTTAACAGTGTTTGTTTATTACTGGAAAATACATCCAAGTTTGGTAGAGCTGATCAGTGGTATGATGGGTCATTTAATTTGAATATCCCCAACTGAGCAAGCCAAAGGCAACAGTGGGAAGGAACCAAAAAACTCCATCAAGTGACCCGATGGTGTCCTAAAACTCCATCAGATGACCCAATGGAGAAAAAAAACCCTTGGGAGAACCCAGGCTCAGTCGGGGCCAGTTCTCCTCTGGCGTTTATGAAGTAGAGGCCGAATTTACAGTAACTGTAAGATTAAAAATAAGATTTTATATGAATGCCTGGCTAAATAGATGCGTCTTTAGTCTAGTTTTAAACTGGGAGAACGAGTCTGAGCAACGAATAATATCAGGAAGGCTATTCCAGAGATTCGGAGCTAAATGTGAAAATGCTCTCCCTCCTTTGGTGGATCTGGATATCCTAGGAATGACCAGAAGCCTCGAATTTAGTGATCTTAAAGAGCGCGATGGATTATAGGGCGATAGAAGATCCGTTAAATAGACTGGAGCTAAACCATTCAGAGCTTTATAAGTCAAAAGCAAGACCTTGTAATTAATACGGAACTTTATAGGTAACCAATGAAGTGATGATAGAATCGGTGTTATATGATCATATTTTCTTGATCTAGTAAGAACTCTAGTGGCTGCATTTTGGACTAACTGTAGCTTGTTTATTGAAGATGCAGGACAACCAGCTAATAAAGCATTACAGTAATCTAGTCTCGAGGTCATGAATGCATGAACTAACTTTTCTGCATCAGAGACTGATAGCATATTGCGTAGCTTAGCAATGTTTCTAAGGTGGAAAAAGGCTGTTTTTGTAACATATGAAATATGCTTTTCAAAAGACAGGTTGCAGTCTAATGTAACACCCAGGTCTTTTACTGTAGCGGATAAAGTAACAGGGCATCCTAATATGTTAAAGTCGTGCTGTGAAAGGTTTTGTGGACGGTTTTTAGAACCGATAAGTATTACCTCTGTCTTGTCTGGATTTAATAAAAGAAAATTACGCGTCATCCAATCTTTTATATCTTTAACACTATCTGTCAATTTGGATAATTTAGCGTATTCATCTGGCCGTGATGAAATATATATTTGAGTGTCATCGGCATAACAATGGAAACGTAAGATAGATAGAGCAAAACAAAACACCGGTCACGATTTAGAAGTCTAAAATGAGAAGGATTTAGATATAATAGAAGAGGAGCTACGCCCTGCGTCATACGTCGGGTCAAAGGTCACCATTCCGCCGGAACTCGACTCTCTCGTGAACGCACGTACAGCCGTTTCCAGAAGACAGTGATTATAGTTTATAAAGTTTTAATTATGATATAATATTATATTTAGAATATAATTATTTAAATATAATATTTTGCTATATAATGATATCACTTCGCTTCAGAATGCATTTATTAACCCATATGGATTACTTATGATGGATTATGATGGATGGATGTGCTTTTTGGAGCTTCAAAAACTCGGACACTATTCAATGCCATTACAAAGTTGGGAAGAGCCAGGATATAATTTAATATAACTCAGATTGTGTTCTGCTGAAAGAAGAAAGTCATACACCGATGGCTTGAGGGTAAATTATGAGATAAATGTCCTTTTTGGGTGAACTTTTCCTGCATATTAGTATCTTTTGAAAGGGTACAGCCCCAGTACCTTTTTTTCTGAGAGTGTGCTGAACTTGATATGAACACTTTTCTCTGTCAGGATATGACCTTTAGTATTGTTTATGCAAATAATTATTAATGAGCAAAATCATGGCTGCTGTAAAAACAAGGATGAGTTGCATAAGACTAGTGCTTAAGGCACAACTATTAAATATTTCTCTAACTGCAACACTGTTATGTAACTCCACATCTGCTATAATTTAGGCAATGAGTGAGATTTGATCAATATGTCATGATGCATAACTGTCAATATAACGAGAATGTACATTTTGGATGAGCTTGTTCATATAATCATATTTCAAGGATATATAAGCTTACAATACTTCCAG